GACACACACACACACACACACACACACACACACACACACACACACACACACACACACACACACACACACACACACACACACACACACACACACACACACACACACACACACACACACACACACACAGACACACACAGACACACACAGACACACACAGACACACACAGACACACACACACACAGACACACACAGACACACACACACACACACACACACACACACACACACACACACACACACACACACACACACACACACACACACACACACACACACACACACACACACACACACACACACACACACACACACACACACACACACACACACACACACACACACACACACACACACACACACACACACACACACACACAAACACACACAAACACACACACACACACACACAAACACACGAAAACACAAACACGCACAAACACACGAAAACACAAACACACACAAACACACACACACACACACACACAAACACACGAAAACACCCACACACACAAACGAACGCACACACACAGACACGCACAAGCACAGGAACGAACAAACGCACAAGCACACACTAGCACACACACAAAACCAGCCACAAGCACAAACACAAATGCAAGCACAAACACAAGCACAACCACAAGCACTCGCACCAGCACAAGCAACAACACAACCACAAACACAAAAACAATCACGCCCGCGCGCGCAGTGTCCCCTCATTAAACATTGAAACATCGTCTTGTAGTACTTCCAGAAGCTTCCTACATACAATCAAGTCCAAGGGCTGTTCAAGCAGTGTTATTCAGTACTTTCTATGTAGGGTGCCTATCCAAGTAGAGGCGCTGAGGCATACCCACGAGTGTTGTGCTGTCATTCCAGCCACAACCAGTGAATGAAAGGATTTACGTCACCAAACCCACTTAGTGGGATGCTCGAATCGTCTGTGTGGTTTCCCTTAAATGGTTCTCTAATTTGTGGATGCCGCCGAAGCAGAAGATCCACATCCCAGGGTGTCCACCCTGCCGGATTCAGGGAGCTTCCTTCTTGTCTGCTTAGCTGTCACGGCTTTCCCGCGCTGTAAGGCCGGTTGCTGCTCGTTGTTTGCTGTTGGCGGTTGTGATGTGTCACGGGTAACGTGTGATGCCTGGCATGTGTGTGTGTGTGTGTGCGTGCGTGCGTGCGTGCGTGCGTGCGTGCGTGCGTGCGTGCGTGCGTGCGTGCGTGCGTGCGTGCGTGCGTGCGTGCGTGCGTGCGTGCGTGCGTGCGTGCGTGCGTGCGTGCGTGCGTGTGTGTGTGTGTGTGATGTGTGACGTGTTCTGCGTGCTTTTGTCAACTTGAGGACAACTTGCTGGTGGCTCCATGCATCTGACAGACCCATGCGTGCAAGGAGAACCCTAGAGTCCCTGAAGGCTAGGAGGCTAAGAGTGGCACCTTCGGCGGTCCGGAGCGAGCGCTTCCGGCGAGTTGTCCTTAGGCCCAACTCGCCGGCGAGGTGAGAAAGGCGAGGGGTTGGGAGCGTCTGTGGGTCAAAACCCATGGTAGGTGCACCACCCATTTTAGCCGGGATTTTAGTGGGGATTGGTTGGTGTTCACTGTGGGCGAACCGATTTGGATTTGGACCCCTGGCCTCATCCCCTTGCCATTTTAGTCCATTTTAGTGGGGATTCAGATGTTCACTGGGGGTACGATTTGGATTTCGACCCATGGCCATATGTTTGCGAGAGCGCTCATGGGCTTCGGCCTTCTCAGCCACTCTTGTGTACAAGGAGTAATGCGTTCGTCCAGCTTGTTGCTTTGCTGGTCACTCGTTGGGGTAAAACCGCTGATTCAATGATTTGAGTTTCAAGGCCTTTGCCCTGACAGGAAACACCAGGTCCAATCGACAACGCCCCCCAAAAAAATAAACTCAGGTGATATCCCCAACAGCATGCGGTGCTCTTTTTAGTGCTCGCACTACCCCGTAGCCCTTGCAGAACCTCTCGTGGAACCCTGGTGGAACCCTTGGGGAACCCTCGTGGAACCTTACCTCAGGGCTGCCCCGGACCCCATTTCGGAGCCTATCTGGGCTGAGACCCCAAAGCTTTCAGCTGTTGGGGAAAAAAGGAGCAAAGAACGAACATGGAGTCAGAAACATGGTGAGCCGTGTGCGTTTTTGCTCGCCATTTCAAGGTCCGGTTCCCAAGGCCGCGGTTGAAAGGCGTGAGAGGAAGGCACAGACCATCAGACAACCCACCCGTGACGCTAGACGAGGAACTGAAAAGGGGTCAGATCCCAGCTAGATGACCCAAACCAAACCACAGCACTTGCCCCTTTTTCCAGAGGCTGCTCACCCTCTCCTGAAACCTCGTTTCGGGTTTCGGCGTCCGAAGACTTGTGCCATGGCGCGGGCTTTAACGTTGTTCCTGGTCCTGGAACTCGGCAGTGCCAAGCAGCTGCTTGGACACCAATCATTGGCCCTTTGGTGCACCAGATGCACCCGAAGGGGGGAATCGGGCCCACAAAATTCAGGGGATTCGCCAAAGGGGGCTCTTCAACCCCGGAAGGTTCCCGGCTTGAAGCCATGAGCTTTTGCTGAATGGCTGGAAAGGGAGCACAGAACTTGCTGAACGACAGCTGTGCGTACTGGTGTTTGCCTGGGCTTGCGTGTTTGCTGGTTTGCCCTGTCCAACAATCATGGAAACGGACAGGACACCTTTTCAAGATGACGGCAATGAGTCTTCCAAGACCAATCCCATGATTGTTGCGAAGAGGGTAGTTGGATCGCAGTAATTAGTTTGCCGCCATGATCCAGGTGGACCGCTGAAGATCTTCCCAATCCCTTGAAGAGTCCGGGGCTCTGCGGACAGAGTGAGCCCTCCACAGTCTGCGATCCAGACCCTGAGCCGCACCGAGGCAAGCTTCGGCAGTCTTGTATGATTGTTTTTTGGTTTGTTTTTTTAACCCATACCCATGTGCCCAAAAGGATGATTCAGTGAAACTTGTGGCTAAAGCAGGGAGAGCGGAAGCCAACTGAGGCGAGCTTGGTGAATCTGTTCATGACTGTATTCTGTCTACCGGCCTTGTACTGTCGAACCCTAGGGCTTCCCAAGCCAGGTCCCTACGGGGTTGGGTCCATAGTAGCTCTGTCTAAGAATGCTAACCCCTCACGCCTCACAGCAATGCTTTCATATTCCTCCCCTTCAAAGCCCATCTCGAAAACAGGGTCGCTCCGAGACTTGCAAAGATCATCAGAACCATAGACGACGGTATTGAGTTCTTCTTTCTGGTTTTCTCCGAGGCCAGCTTGCTTTGAGACAGACCCACCCCAAGTCTCGCCCTTCGCCTAGGAGCACCTCCTGACGTCCTCGAAGCCCTTGATAAGCGCGCTGAACGCACTGTCCAGGGACTACGAGTCTCAGCTTTTCGATTTTATGTGACCCAGACCAGTGATGACGTCTTTTTTGGCATCGCCTCCGTGAAAGTCGTGTTTTTGGGTGGGTTCCACCTGATGCTTGACCTACAGTGGTGCCTTTTTTCTCCTTTCGCTTTTTGTAGGGTTTCCTTGAGTATCGACAAAGAAAGGAGCCCTTGCTTGTCACCTCCCCCCACCGCTGTTCGACCTTGTGCTGACCAAGAGTTTCTTGCATTGGACACTACAAATCATTGCACATGGAAATCAGGGGGCCCTAAACGAGTTCTAGGAAAACGGGTTGCAGCTTTCGCAAAAGACCATCAATTTGTAGCATCCTATAACTCATTTGTTGGAACCCATTTGGGGTCATGAAAAACTAAGTACGGGCCAATTGACGGTGGCACTTGTCACCGTTGCCCCAAAACGGCCCACTTCTTTTGGCCCGATTTGTTCGTTGCTGGGCAGAGTCCGAGAGCTCAGGCCATTTGGCACTTTTTGGGCGCCCTGAATGTTCGCGCAGCAAAACTTGTAGGTTGTTAAGTGCGTCTTGTGCATCAATCGTGCTTGAACATGAGAATCGGCTGTTTTAGTATTGGTGTTGGATTCTTTTCGGACGTTTAATTGCTTTCCTTCGTTTGGTTAGGGTTGCGCTTGTTTGCAGGATTCTAAGTAAGCGTGTCCTCAAATTGGGATTCCTTTGTGGTTGATATCGCCCTGGTTAAGTGATCCCCTATTTTACGAGACACCAAGTACTGCTGAGGAGTATCCGGGCTGCGGCGGATACGAAATGGCGGTGGTGGTGGTGAATAGCATTCAGGGCTCTGGCGAAGAAGACATGAGGCACGTTGGGGCAACTGTGTGTGTGTGTGGGTGCGTGCGTGCGTGCGTGCGTGCGTGCGTGCGTGCGTGCGTGCGTGCGTGCGTGCGTGCGTGCGTGCGTGCGTGCGTGCGCGCGCGCGTGCGGCGTGCGCGCGTGTGCGCGTGTGTGGTGCGTGTGTGTGTGTGTGTGTGTGTGTGTGTGTGTGTGTGTGTGTGTGTGTGTGTGTGTGTGTGTGTGTGTGTGTGTGTCTGTGTGTGTGTGTGTGTGTCCGTGTGTGCTTGTGTGTGTGTGTGTGGGCGTGCGCGTGTGCGTGTGCGTGTGCGTGCGCGTGTGCGTGTGCGTGTGCGTGTGCACGTGCGGGTGAGTGAGTGTGTGTTTGTTCATACTATATTTATTTTACCACATGATACTATATTATTATGGTATGTATATGCTTGTGTGTGTGTGGGTGTGTAGTGTCCAGAATGCTAGGGCCTGGAAATGTGTTTCGACTGTTTTTGTCAAGCCACCAAGCAACGACGCCCTCCGCTCCCCCCCAGTCTTGAGACGTGCTCAAGTAATTCGTATTGCGAAGGCGTCCCCAACAAAGTGAAGACTCCCGCTGAAGCTGTGATCACATTTGCTCACAGTGCCCTATAGGATACAAAGGCAACCCTCCAGGTTGGCTCGGCCTCAGGGTTGCCAACGTCAATGTCCTTGGGATTGTCCCATCCTTCGCTGACCCGAATTTTGATTGTGGCTCATTGTTTAGTTCAGCCCCAAGCAATGCCAATAAGGCGTTTCCGTAGACCATGGGCTTAGGTTCCTTCCGATCAGCAGGATACTTCGGACGCATTCTCTTCTCCAGGCTCTTCGCAAAGGCCGTGATGGACCACTGGAAGGTGGGGAAAGCTGCCTGCAACAACGGCATCGTCCTCGCCCTGGCGGTGCCCTCGCCTTGATTGCGCGCAAACAAGCGAGCAGAGTTATGTGGCAAAACAGAGAAGAACCTATGACCCTCCCAGAACACAGACGTGGTTTTCCTTATCGTTTCCCTTGTAACCAACCTGCAAAGGGCCTTTGACGGTACACCCACTTAAAGGGGTTGCACGCGAAAGGATTGGGCTTATTGGGAGCCCTTTTGTTGATGAATGCGTGTTCCATGTCAGGCAGGAATTCACTTTTTGGAGAGACTCTCCTCAACAATCCACCAGGTTGGTTAATATTAAGCAAGGGTTGAGCTGTGTTGTGTCGTGTCGCTAGCCCGCGCATCCATCGTGCAAATGCTCGCGAAATTTGAAGCAGTGCCCAACTGGATTGTGAACAAGTGCCTCTAGTACTACTTGAAGAAACCATCCGAAAGCCCCGATTGCCAGCTATGCTTACTTCGTGAACTGCCCTCACAGGTCACGTGACGGGCACCCCGAAAAGGGAGGCTGTGAATGGGGACGTGCCAGGCAACCAACCAGGCAACCAACCAAGCAGGCAAACCAGGCAACCAACAAGGCAACCAGCCAGACAACCAACCAAGCAGCCAACCAAGCAACCAGCCGGGCAACCAACCAGGTAACCAACCAGGCAGGCAACCAGGCAACCAACCAAGCAACCAACCAGGCAACCAGCCAGGGTTCGGGCGCAGGTCCCTTTCTAAAGAATCAAAATTGGGGATCTATGTTTTTCTGTTGTGAAGAACTAGTATGGAATCCCAAAGTGGAGGAAGCTTTGCTTGGAGGGCCCTTTTTGTTGGGTCCGTTTACTTGACTTTTGGGGGAGTTGT